TGTGCATTAGGAATACTCTAAAATAAATTGGCATTATCATAAAAGACAAATCAAAATGCCTCAGAGTAAAACAAAATAAATCTAGTCAGGTCTGAAAAAAAGGCATGAAGGCAGTGACAAACACCAACAAGGCCATCATCAGTCAGCATCAGGTAAGCTCCATTCAGTCTCGACCCAGTCCTCTTTGGCCCAATCGGGTGAACGTGTAGAATATTCAAAGTCAGGTCCTTTGTAGCGTAGAGCGTGCAGATACATGATGAGCTCCTTCTCTGTGGGATCTGCTCGATCCAGCTTACATTCAGAGCACAGGTTATCTCTGGTTTCTGGTTGAGTTGTTGCCTTTGTTAGATTTCCAGTTGATTGGTCAGCTTCGGACTCAAGTGAGGTGTTATTAGCGTTTGGGTCTGTGCAGATCTGACTCACCTTATCCACCGTTTCACTGCCTGAGCTACAACCTGTCGGCCCCTGAGTGTCGCTCTGATGAATCTCTCCACTTGTGTGAAGTTCAGAGGTGCCATCTGATGTTTCTACTTTCTCAGATGTCTTGTTTTTTTCCGATTCTTGTTCAATCCCAACCGCATCGTCAGGTATATCCAGAAGGAGAAGACTTTCCTGAGAGCGATGTTCCTCTACCAGAGCCTGCAGCAGCTCCTCATTACTCTTGTCCACCTGCCCCCCCTTCCCCCTGTGAGGACCCCAGGCGGAGGACCCATAGATGGGATCATTGAGGATGGGGAAGCCCAGGTACTGGAGGTGGACTCTGATCTGGTGTGTGCGGCCGGTCAGCGGTAAACAGCGGACAACGCTTGTTTTCCCGTTAAAGCTCAGCCTCTGGAAGACGGTTCTGCTCTCTTTCCCCTTCGGGTCGACTCTGCAGAGGCCGACTTTAAAGGAAACCACCAGGATGGGCTCCTCACAGACCAGCTCACCATCTGGAAAATCCCCCTCTACCCTGCACACATACTCCTTTTCAACCTGGTAGAAAGCACAAAGAAAAAGACAGAAGAGGTTAGTATTCCTTCATTGTTCCTCTTCATCATCTTGTTTTTGTAAGAATTATCTACAGAGAGTGTCTGCATAACAAATGGACCCAATAAGTAAATTCAAACATAGAATAAAATCAGTTTTTCTCTCACGCTGTTCTGTAGCCTCACATTTTTTCTCTGTTTAATTCTCTGATAACTTAAAGATGCAGACATCCGAATATTTTAACATTCCGGTCAAAATGTATGGTAAAAAAGACCATCTAAAAATGTTATTGCTATAATGCGGCTTAAAACTGGACAAAAATTAGGATACAGAGGGGACGCCAATACCTTGATTAAAATGATGGATGCCTCTAAAGGCCCGGACACACCAATCTGACAACAAAGAACTGACACAGCCGGACCCCGACTGTTGCGTCGCCTCGCGTCTCTGCGTCTTGGCCATGTGTCGCACTGGAACACACCGCAAAGACTACAGCTGACGGCCAAGAAGCACGTACGAACTGCGCATGCGTGAGTGGCAATAACTCTCCTTACCAGCAGGCGGCGGTAGTGTGTATTCGTCATTCAAAAGAGGCAACAACCGGAAGACAGACTGCGTGATAACCGAGAGAAGAAGAACAGACTGCGTGATATAAACAAACAAATGGCGTGTGCGTTCCATTTTCACTCTACAACGAGAAGCTCATGGGGCTTTCCCGAACCTGTGTCGAGAGCTGGAGTTAAATGAAATCTCAGATTTGCCTTCTTAATAGTTTGTTTGGGTCCCTCACTTCCGTTTCGCTTCTCATGCACTGATTCACTAGCTGAACAGCCAATCAGAGTGATTTATTTTGCCGACTGCCTTTGGCCGACGCCTTTTCGGCCGAAAAGGCATCGGCCCGGCTGAAAAGACCCGACGGTGCGGGACACACCAGTCTGAGTAGGGCGTGTCGACGCTCATCGTCGGCCTGATGCCCACCGACACCGATAATCGGTCTGGTGTGTCCGTGCCTTAAAGGTGGGGTAAGTAAGTTTGAGAAACCGGCTCGAGATACACTTTTTGTTATATTCCATGGAATGCTCTTAACATCCAGATAGCAATGAATATATTAAGTGCTTTGACAAAAAATCCATTAAAAAAAAATGTCATCTGTGGAAGCCGTAGTACTGTAAAAAGCACGACCAATCATTTTAGCCGGCCCGGCTAAAGTAACTGGATGGCCTACCTGCCTGTCAGCCTTCCATCTGTGCACAAACTTATCTCGTGCCCTCATTGGTCATGTGCGCGTTCGTGTGTGTTGGAGGAGGGGCTCTGTAAGGAAGTGGCAGATTTGTTCCGGCTGTGTATTTTCAAATTCTAGCGCACTCGAGCTGGTTTCTCCAAAATTACCTACCCCACCTTTAACTGTTGAAAATGTTTACATATTTTTGACACAATTAAAAAGAAAAAGTATAATATAGATCTAGTTGATTATATATTTACATATGACATAAGCTAAAGAATAATAACACAAGATAAATCTTACTACTATTGTCTAAACCCACTGATATAAAGGGTTGTCCCACAGGTTTACCCAAATAAATGCTTTAATCCTCCCTGTCCTGAACGTACCTGTCTGTCTCTCACTAACTGGTCCAGTTTCTGAGACGTCTCCAGCGTCCTGGCAAACATCAGCACTCCAGAGGTCAGCCTGTCCAGTCTGTGCACTGTGTGGAGCTCAGAGATGCCCTGCTCCTTCCCCAGGATGAAGATCACTGTGTTGTGGCGGAAACGCCCACAGGGGTGGACCGGGATGGAGGCAGGCTTGTTGATCACGAGCACTTCACCGTCGTCCACCAGAACCTCCAGAGGTCTGCCAACCACAGGGGGCTCATGGCGGTGCACCGTGTTCTTCATGAGGTCATTGTTCTGTGGAGAGTCAGGGAAAATGTGTTACCACAGTTTTAAATTAAAAAAAAACATCACCAGCTCTTATATTTTGAACTAGGGCTGGGCAATTCATCTATATTACATTGAAATGTTGATAAAACAATATAGATGTAGTAGGATATTGTAGCACATGATCATTGTTGTCTTTTCCTAGTTGTAGAAGACAGTTTTGTACTTTATGACTTTTTTTAATCTATCAGATTGCAGTATCAAGATTTTGATTTTGATTATTACATTTTGAATAGAGGAAGGGCTGAACACTTCTAACTGTACTTCTGCCATGCGACAGAAAAAGCCTGTACTTACAATAAAAAATGAAAGATTAATTTAAAAGTATAAAGAGGAAATCAACCATTAGTTAACCATCCGACCTACTAATATCATAATCAGCAGGTTTATTGCCAAGTAATGCCAATACACACAAGGAATTAGCCTTGGTGAATATCGTGCATACATAAACACAGTTAATAAATATAAATTGTTAAAAAAAAGGGACCAAAAAAAAACCATTATAAAAAACATAATTATTTAAAAAATATATTAAAATCTAGAAATAATATTTACATTAAATGTAGATATACAAGAAAATAATAAAATGACAAAATACTGTGAATATTAGAATAAAATACATCATGTGCAGTATCAATAACTGGTTTACTTAGATCAAGCCTGAACTCAGTGGACTTTACCCTGAGTTATTCTGTCATTAAGCCCTGCTAGCATTATGCTAACATCTCAGATATAGCATCATAAGCAGTACTGACCCTGAGCACCACAGACAGGTCCTCCACAGGTGTGTCGTTCAGCCGGATGCGGCCCTCTTTGGCAGCCCTGTGGTAATACTCCATGGTCTCCGCTCTGAACTCATGCTTAAACACCTCCAGAAGGCTCTTCCCAATCCACCGCCCTTTGCAGTACGTTTTGAAGTCAAAGTAGTACGGACGCACTTTACGAAGACCACCGTCAAAGTAGTAGTCGGTCTCGTCGAAATGCTCCTTGCAGAAGCTGACACCGGGATTCCGTTTCTGCGGAGGGGGGACGTATCTCTCGCCCGGACGGAGCTTCTTTCCACCGGCTCCCCTCCGCTTCTTGCCTCGGCCCTTTTTCTCAGCATCGCCCGTCTCTTCGCTCTTTCTTTTTCCACTTTCTGTCACCTCTTTGGTGGTGGTTTTCTCCTCAGACTCCGGACTGTTTACCTCTGCGACAGCTTCCTGCTCCATCGTCGAGCTGCTCTGTGGACACCGTGGAGAACACAGAGTGAAATGAAAGCTTTTAAACGAAATAAAGTTGCAATGTATTGTTGTAATTTGACTAATTGTAACTCCTGTTTGTCCGAACGTGAAGAAAGACACGAAATTACATTTTCTCAAGCCTCTAATAACCGACACGCTCACGTGCATTGCTCTCTAGAGGTCCTTCTCGCTACGTGCGCATACTGATGACAGTATTATGTAGTCCATTCACTCCGATATGAAGTTCTATTTAAGCTTTCTGTCTCTTCTTCCTTTTTTGAGACCTGAGTGCAAAACACCTCATCACCGACACATTATCGCCACCAACAGTTCATAATGTGTATTTAGTTTAGTAAGAAGATATTACTTTATTAACTCAAGACTCAAGAGTGATAAACTAACATGAGGTTGAAGTCATAATGCTAAATTAAAAAGATTGTGTCTTGTGTGGGAAGTTAGGAATCAACCATTTTCACAAAAATATTATAAGGTAGGGTAAAGGGTAAAATAATTTCTCCTTCATGCATTTTTGGATTAGGCAATTTCTATTATTTTGTGACAGAATAGCCAAGACTTAATATCTGGTTTTGGAACACTACAAATAATTAAAACATTAAAAAAAATACAATTAAAAGAAATATCTTATTTATAAATCATCTGTAATGCTTAGTTAATACATACTCTCATGACTCATGACATTTGATTTGAAAAATATTGAAAAAGGTTTCCTCCTGCAGACAATGATGACATTTTCTGTTGAACATAATTTAATATCCTGTGTCCTATACTCTCATTCAAAATAATATACATTGCTTCCTTTTCTTGACCATGATGTAATGATTATTTGTAGAAAAATGAAAAACAATCAAGTTTCTGTTTAGTGGGTTTATTTCATTAATCTGTGTACACATACATTTTTTATGGCACAATGCCCACTCTGCTGTACATAATCAATGTCAAAGAGCACATAACATACAATATAAAAAGCAGTAAGAGAAGGATTCTTACCACAAAATATATATTATTTCCTTTTGATTTGCAGAATTTTTCATTAAACTTCCATGGCTAGAATTTGGTTTTATCTTTATGTGTTATTCATAGCCAAAACATCCCATAAGATTGCACACAGGGTCACATATTAACTCTCATCTGAATTCACCACAAGCTTCCAAAAGAAAGACATCCTGTACCTCCTTAAGTGCATTTTTCTCTTTACTGACTCACCCATAAATAATACTGTGAATCACTTAGATCCCGGACAACCTCCCTTTGTTATCCACAGTATCACTGTCTAATGGACACTGGATTTAAGGTCATCAGTCCAGCGGTGGTCATTCATTCAGTCTCTCACTGTTTTATCATCCTTTGAAGACAATCTGGTTGGGCAAACAGGGTGAGATCCTCCTTGTACGTTGCTAGGTGACGACCCAGCGGGGCAGGTGGCCATTAAGACAGGAGCTCAGTGAAACCATGAGGAGGGCTAAGGGGCCCCGGAGACGCAGCACCAACGCCACCTCCTGCGGGGGCAACCACACTGCAGTCAGAGCTCACCTCTGGGGACAGAAGGAAGGACATTGTGGATATCATCAGACTCAAGCTATAGTGCAGAGGTGGATGTGAAGATCACAGAGGCCCCTGCTGGAGGTTAGTCAGCACATAAAGTGGTTTTCCTATAAATATCAAGGTTAGAAATGTGAGTTTTTGTGCAGTACCCAGGCCACTGGCGTCTCTTGTCAGTCAGTGGGACGTAAACCACTCCCATCAAAGCTTTCTTCAGGAAGGTCCCATCACTCTGCTTATCGTACTGTTCTAGCACCTGACTGCCACCTTCAGGGCCGACTGGGAGAACCAACCGGCCCCCAGGCTTCAGCTGCTCCAAGAGCTTTAACAAACAGATGGTAGAAAACAGAAATTTCCCATGAGGGTGGAGACAATTCTGATCCAACAGCTTACAGCACTTTAGGAAATATTCTTTAAAGACCATTAGCTGTTTGAGAATTACTTATAAGATGTACTGCAGTGTGTTTTAACCTTGACTGAATGTGCTTTGTTTGTGGATTTTGCCCTAAAAGTGCTTCTCTTTCACAAGAGTCAAAGTCATACGCGTCCTTACAGCCTTGGGAACAGTAGCTGCAGCTGCACCAACATGAATGGCATCATACGGCGCTCCTTCTGGGTAGCCGAGTCTTCCATCTCCCACTGTGGACGGATGCAGGTATGACTTTTAATACAATCTCTATAGCTGTGCAACATCAAAATTAGAAAAGGGCATTATTTGTGAATCTTCTGACTCACCTACAAGTTTGATGCGCCCAGATGTGAGCAGTTCTGGGTCGTCCCCTTGCACTTTTTTTATTGATATTTTAAGCAGTTCATCAATGTGTTCAATTCCGACCACTCTACCACTGGGTCCTGTCTACAAACAACAGAAAATGCAGCGAGTGCACTCAATCATACACTGTATTTCACGCAAACTTGCAGGAAACATGTAAAAGTGTGTACAGAACCTACCATCCTTGCGAAGCAGGCTGTGAGATATCCACTTCCTGAACCCACATCGAGTGCAGATGCTCCTTCAGTTAGTTTGTCACTTAACAGCTCCAAAGCATGAGCATGCTGTCAAACCACCAAAGGAAATCATTTAGCCAATCATGTTTATGTACATTAAAACTGAATTATAGTAGGTCTCGCAGCAGTAGAGTGTTGTTACTCACCATGTGGGGGGCACTGATGGTCGCTCTGTAGCCTGTGATAAGAAAATGTCACAACACAAAGTCACAGCAAATATCTGTGCTCATGAAACACAAAACATAAAGTACTCGTATTGTCGGGCAAATACATGAAATGGTCTGTGAAGAGCAACTGAAATAAAAACCTATTGTTTGAGGAGAGTCTGCATAAGGATAATCTATGGAGTAGAGCCCTCTGTCTGTAGCCAGCATGGCATCAAACACTCGGTCACTGCGGATCACCCCGTGATCTGGGGAAGAAGAGAGGAGGCAATGAAAATCATTTTCCATGTTAGCGCAAAATGTAATTCATTTTGAGAATTATTCAGTTTTTTTTTTTTTTTAAATATGCCCTGATAATTGTGAGTCATACAATATATTTATAGTTTATTTGTAATTTTTCTTTTCATTTAAAATCTCTGTAAAATGATCCATCATACCTTCTGACTAACACCTCAATACAGCTTTATTTGTAAAGCACTTTAAAACCTCCAGAACAAAGAGCTCCTACAGAGAAATAAAGAAATGAATAAAATACAAAAATCGGTACTTGTGGGTTATCTGTCGCCACTTTATTATTTGATGCATCGACTCTAGCGGGTAGCTTGCTCCTCCACATGAACTCGGCTAGGTAGGTCTTAAGATGGTTAGGGTTACAAAAAAAGTGCGTATTTATTTAGAGACTCTGAAAAAGACAAAAAAAGTGGCGACAGATAACCCACAAGTACCCAAAATCACACAGCTCAGCTGACAAACCATAAAATAAGTAAAAATACAAATAAAAGGTAACAAACACAAATAAAGAAAAATCAACATAATAGAAGCCATATAGTAAAGTAAAAATAAATGTCTTTATTAGCTTGACCTTGAGATATGTGAGCCTAAGACCCTGTGATGTCCAAGCATCAGCACATTACCCCTCAGCCTGCTGATGAGCTCTGCGTGTGTTTTGCCGCTGGACATCCACGCCATGGTCCGGGACAGCAGCACACCCATCGGGACGGCCACTACTGCCAGGCGCACCGCAGCGTGCATCTCCTACACTGGGTCTCACTGCAGTGACGTGATGATCAGCGCATGCAAGCCGGAGGACATAAAGATGTAACATCTTAAACATACATTACATGGTCGGTAATGATACGATTTCATATGGCATAATACGATATTTACACAATAGCATGCACGACAGTCAACCAGAGAGCTGATTAAATAACCACGACCAAGTTAACGTTACATTATAAATGTTTAATAAAATGCAACAGTTGAAAATGCTAATGCCAGTTCTACAAATGACCAATACTTGTGAATAAAGTACATATAGAGAGGTTTGCAGAGCGTGTTTACCTTGGAAGTTCTGCACTGTTCCTTCCAGCTGAGACAAACTTCCTGACTCCCTACTGAGCGAAACACAGAGACAGCCAATAGGATAAGCACTGAAACCTCAGAGATCCAATCACAATTCAAAACAGTTTGATGGACGGTTACGACGTCCAATCACATGCGCCCAAATAAGGAAGTGGGATGTTGGATGTTGCTCGTTAAAGATTGTGGATCATGGGCACGGTTAGCTTGTGAGGAAAATTAATACAACAGAGGAAATAACGGCTATTCTATTGATTACTCACACAGGTAAGACTTATTTATTTGTAATGTAGTATCATGAAAATCGTGTGAAGAACATTTGACATGCACCACGAGAAGTTAGACCCATGCTAGGCTAGGTATGTTGATGTAAAGGAAAGCTCAGTTTTTAGATAAAACTGTAAACTGCTAAGTAACGTTGTTTGGGTTTCTGCATTGTTTGCCTTCCTTGGTATCTATATGTCTTACAGGCCTGTTATAATGTACCTGAAGGAACCACTAGAACATAAACAAATGTGGCTAATGCTAACTATTGTTGACTTCTGCTCTCTCGGTTAGTCACAATGATTGACGACTTCGGGAACAAGGAGGGGGCCCGGTCCAGCGGGGAGCTGTGGACAGAGATCTGCTCCAGTCTGCCGGGGTCTCAGGCTGCAGCGGCCCCGGAGGTCAACACGGAGTTCAGAGACTCATTCGAGCCAGCAGCACAAGTGGGAGTGCAGGTCAATGGGCACTCAAACGGGACAAATGACAGTTCTTCTGACGCCATATGGGAACCCATGGAGGATTCTGATATCTACATAGCCAGTTTAGGTACAGACATCTTTCCTGCTTTGTCCCTTCATGACTGCAGGCTTCATGTCACATTAAGTGTACCATGCATCCATAATACATTCTCCCCAAACAAGTAGTATGGAAGTAGTATAGGAATGATATGGTTTTGGTCCCAAAAGGCGTTTAAAAAAAAAAAAAAGTCTTACACAAAATACAATTAATTAAGGTTGCCTTTCCTTTAGAGGGCCAACATTGGTACTAAATGTGTGCCACAGGTTAATAGGAAACAATAGTTGCACATTTTGTATTTTTTAGATACAATAATTAACAAAAAACGGCAATTTATATTATATCTGTTTTATATAATCAATTTGTGCAGCCCTGGACTAAATGATGAATCAATCAACTGAGATGACATACTTCAGATGAATCAATAATGAAAATACAAATTTAACGAAATAATAATTTACTTAAGGATAAATGGAGAGGGAACAACCACTAGGATTATGGTAAAAAAATTGCCAAATCATGGGTATACTAAATCTCAGACTAATCTGCATCCTGATTTTTTTTAATGTCAAATCTGTTTTTTTTTGCCTACATTTTGGTGCAGAGAACCGCCTGAAGAAGATAAAGGGCCAGTCAAGTGATGTGACATCCAAGGACATGTTGCGCTCCTTGTCTCAAGCTAAGAAAGAATGCTGGGATAGATTTCTGCACGATGCTCAGGCCTCAGAGTTCTTTCAAGGCGGGGAAATTGATCAAAGGTAAGATGGGAAGCAACGGTTATGCATTAACACAAGGTGTTTTGGCAGGATTCAAACATTAGGTGAAGGGTTATCTTGCCTGAAGAGAGCTTGTATCCTCTTCTTGCTTTATGATCTGCTGATATCTGTCCATTTAGGCCCAATTAAAGACGATATCTTATTTTTTTGTTTTCATTATATATTCTAACTTTGAATATTGCAAAAATAACTGCAAAACAACCTTTGGTGACCTATTTTCCTGTAGTATGCTCTAACATACCTGCGTTTTCTTTCAATTATTTCACATTTTGTGTTGCAAGGATAAGACTTGTGTCCAGTGATTAATACTCTTCTGATCTTAGACTTTCTACTTTACCTTCTTGTGTATCTCTCTTCCCTAGTGCTATTGAACACTTTAAGAGGTGGCTGATTCCTGAAAAGGTGGCCATTAGCGCAGAAGAGCTGGAGTTCCTTCTGAGGCCGCCTCAGAATAATGAAACGGCTGAACCAAACCAAACACAGAGTGAAGAGGAAAAGAGGGATGAAGACAAACCAGAGGAAGATGATGCGCACAGCCCGGAGAAATGAGTGTGTTCAAATAGTAACACTGAAAAAAGAACTAATTCGGCGTGCATTAACCATTGCCATTTTGAGCTGTGTAATGTAATAGCAGTGTTTTGGCCAAAGCTTTTGTGAACAGTGGTCAAAAAAGTAATTACAGCCCATCATCATCCCCCGTATCCCCAGCAACTGAGTGTTAAGTACTTCTTCAATCCTTGTTATTCATCCCTTCTACCAAATCACACCAGCAAATAAAGAACTTTAATTTAGATTTGTTTTGTCCTGTAGCAGTAAAATTAGCATCTAGTCTTTGTAGTGACCCCCATTATATCTGTAACAAGAACGGCTCTCTACTTTTGAATACATATTGAAAGGTTAATGAAGGACCACGTGCAGTTCTGTTTTAAATGTTTTAAAAAATGGTATCATCTTGAGAAGCAATACTCTGATCTATGCCTGAACGTATTTTATCATATTGCGAATGTCTTTATGTTTGCCATGTTAATTTTACTAATAAAGTTTTACCCACGTTTGAAAAAAAAGTATAATTGATTTGTTCTGCACATAGGCTGAACCAAGGGACTTTAATTTAGCTGGATTGCACTATCAATAGTACAACTAAAACTTAGAATAGAATATTCTTGCATTTTCAATACCCATACATCCTTAGTTATCTTTAAAACAAAAATACTTTTGAGCAAGACAGCATAAGGGTTAATGTTCGAAGTGCAAGGATAAGACTTGTATCACAATTGTATTTATACTGCATGCGGACAAGCAGGTCATAGTTGGCTGTTGCAGAAAAAGCTAAAAGTAAAAAGAAAAAGTTTGTGATTCTGAACGCAGCCTTAGCCTTTGGGATTAAGGACTGTGTTATTCTTTAATAGTGCAGGAAGCCTTTTTGACAGCAATATCTCAAGATGGTATCAAAGATCCAAATGTTCTTTATCTACAAAGTGTAGATGCTGTGGGTGTAGCACGCAGCGAAGCTACTGAGTGGCATTATGAGAAATATAGGATCTAACATTTAGCATTTGAGATAAAATCAGGTTCCCAAGGAAGCTTAAACATCAAAGCATCATTGTAGCTTATCAGTCTAGGTGTTTTCAGGCCGAGCTGTGTTGCAAATTAAAGTTTGTGCAAAATATGAGGAAGTGAAATTCAATAACAACTCAAATCCAACAAAAATGTGGTTATACCAGTTGACTCGTTTGCAGCACAGTTGAATTGCCACACAAAGTAGACCCTTCAAAGTTTAATTAACACCCATCGAAAACAAAGTTTGATCAAAAACTAAACATTTTAAACTTCATAAAGTTACGGTTTAAGCAAATCTGTTGTATTAAACAACTATTACTGTCAGCCATCTTTATGTAATATGTTGACAAATTAGTGTTATTCTGAATGATATCAATTCAGCTTGGGAAGATTTGATCAAATAGTGCTCATCTGAATAAAAGCCACCATGGCTTCATTTTGTAATGGGAATACATTTTCCGTTGAGGCCCTTGACATGAAAACCACCTCGATTATCTTTCAGGACCCAAAGGATTGAAATATGTGAAATTAACTGAAAACACAATTTTTAAAACAAATTTTTTTCTTTATCTAAAGCAGATCAAACTGTGCATCTTATCTTTATATAATTAAGTGGAATTTATTTGTCTTATTCTTGAGGATGCTTCTTTGAGTTTAAGTGAGACAAGTCAGTGGCTTTCCGACTCAAGGTTTGGAGAGCCTTGCTTTGTGGTAAAAGGTTAGATTGGGATGATGGATGATATTTTGAAGCAGCGAATGGCAGGAAATTAAAGTTTGATTGGCATCTATTCTTGATTAAAATGTAATTTCCATATGTGGGAGGTATTATTAAAAGAATCCCCCAGTGGTGTCCCCTGAGAAAAAGGGTTATGGCAGCCATTTAACCCTAAATGTCCTCGGTTGAGGAAAGGGGGAAAAAAAATAATAGTATAATTGTACCAACACAATAATATAAAAATTGCTGTATCTTTGAATGATAGTAAAAAACACTTTAGTACTACATGCAATACCAATAGTGTGAGATTGTCAGATTCAATTATTTATGTCAGTATTATTACTTCTGCTGCAGCTTCCCCCGCCCCCTCTGTATTCAAGCAGCTCTATCACCCCTCCTCAAGTGGTAGGGGTCACGGCCGTGTATTGACACCAAGAGGGATCCACAATAAAATATGCATTAAGTTTTACATTCACAGGGTGTTTCTCAATCGCGAGTGAAGCTGCTTCAGAGCCACTATTTCAAGCATACTACGTCATCGAGTGCCGCCGAAGTACTGTTCCAATCTCCAGCATACTTGGAAATCTACCGAGCCCGGCATACTCCGTTTGGAGAAATATCGAGGCTGCACATGAGTAGACTCCGCGGTCTTAAAATCTCCACAATGCTTTGCGCACGGACCAATTTCCCCAAATCTGTGGCGGAAGATGTAAGGCAGGGCCTCTCATATGACGCACACCTGCACACTTGCTAGCGTGTTCCACTCTTCGTTTTCCGAATGCCAGGAAGTATTCTTGACTCGCTTCTGAAGCAAGATGCTCGGCAGACATGTGCCACCAAGCAAGCGTACTCGCGATTGAGAAACACCCACAGTCATCCCATCGGGAGAGGTCGAGGCCAAGATGGATGCAGATACTACTCCATAACGAACATTTATTTAAAAGGTGCATAAATGCGCTTAACTGGCTTCTGTGAACAGAAGTTGTTTAAAGGCCACGGGATAGCAGGAATAGGGCCGGAAAGAGTGAATGCAGGCAGGTACAAATATGGTTCAGATTACATGATAATAGGCTATAGGCTCAAAATGACACAAAGACACATTGACAATCCGATGTCTAAAAGTGGAAAAGGGTTGGTTAATCATCCACAGATCCAATGAGAGAATGTGGAAACAGGAAACCAGTTGTGCAGGAAGTAATGGGAATGGCTGAAAGGGGTCACTG